CAGTCACAGAATTTATAATGCTAAACATGAAATCTGTAATCCAGATACCGAGAATTGGCTGTGGTGTGGGATGTTTTCATCTATGTGCATCTTTTCTTATTTGTAGCAACTTTGGTGCGTCTTCCAGTTCTGGCACATTTATCTCATGAAAGGGAATGTGAGTGTGCTTTTGACTGCTGAATTGAGGCCTTGACAATTGTAGCTCTCCTTACTACCAGTGTGGCATACTGAGAAAAGCTCTTCTTTGGTCCAAGAAGGAAGCACTGGATTTTGGAAGCTATCATCTTTTCCAGTATACTCTTCTGCATTGAAGATGGGTATGGCCATACTGCAGGATTTCAGGATAAGACTTTAACCATCCTACTCTGAGGCAAGAACATAATGATTATTCATGATGATTTGAGAGCATTTGGATATTGACAGTTTTTCAGTGTAAGGAGCAGCAGTTGTTTATCTCATTGCAAAAAGGGAGGTTAGGTAAGAGAACACCTGAATCTTAATACGTTTTGGATCAAGCTTTGTTTGGTAATGCGGCTGAGAAGTGCACTGTGGTGTTTGGAACTGCCATGGAGAAGTCTGATTGAGAGATAAAAAATAGTAGATGTTAAATCATCTGTCAGTTACTGCACTCTTAATGGGAATGAAGATTAACATGAAGCACTGCTGGTGTAGGTGCACACACCACACAGAGTTAAACATACGAACAGCAGGCTCACACTGTGCTTACTACAGATGTCTGAATGAGTGAGTGCCTGTGGGTTGGAGCTGCATGTCTTGTGGCTTTCACTCTGCTCCATTGGGAAGCCTTCACTCCTTTTGTTTTTATCCTTTTCCAACTCCAGTACTTTCAAGCACACAGCTCCCATCCCCTGACCTAACAGCTTCATTGAAGTGCATTCCAGCCCCATGATTTCATGGTACGAGGCAGAACTCCCCTGCCACGCTGCTATGCTGCCCGCTGCTTCTCACGGAGTGAACAAACAGGGAACATAAACTCTCTCCAAAGGAGCAATGTTCTCTGTATATTTTTAGTGCAAGAAGTCCAAGATTCATTTGAGGGTGTTTTGTGTAGGCTTTTTTTAATATAGACTTCTGCTAACACAATGGAATATTTCATGCCACCCTGTTTGCTGTAACTTGTCATGCTTTATGTTGTTAAATGGAATCAAAGGAGTTAAAGATGAAAGAGTTCTAGTCAACTGGTCTCTCAGCTGGGAGCCAACATGGGTTCTTTGTAATGTATTTGTTAGTGCTTTACTCAGGTTCAGCATAGCTCAGTTTTCGTTATTGGATTTACTTGTTTCTGCAAATTCCATACTTTAGGTTAAGTAATTGCTGAGCTTAGACTCAGTATAATACTGCTACTGTTTGTTTCTCATGTTTAACTTTCTATTTATTGCCCTTATACTGAACAACCCTTTTATAAGTAGTTGTTTACCATTCGAACATACAAAGCACCATTAAAGATGTCATGCTTGCCTTCACAGGTATTCTCTTTACTGGATAGACAGAGAACTTTTTTCTCTCTTTATATGAAACTATGTCCATTTTACATTGTACTTGGGTGTTTTCTTTTCAACATAGAGTGTATCACCAGATGCTAACTTATGTAGTATTACAACAAATCTACTTTTCATTAGCTCATTGTGAGCCTTTGAATATTTGGAGTTAGTGCAGTATTTGAATGTACAGGTTATGTTGAGAGACTGATGTCTTGGATTTTCTTGGTGAAAGATGTTCTCAAACTGGCTATTTAAATGTCACTGTTGCATTTTTATGTATCGAGTGTATTATACTTAAATTTGGGGACATCCAATATGTTCATAGTGACATAATCTACAAACTGGACAGTGATCTGGGAAGAGAAAAGGCAGATAAAGGCAGACAACTTTTCTGGGAAGCATATGAAGCAGGGAACTGCACCTGCTGCATGACTTGGGGACTGACAAGGTTTCTAGACAGAACTGTTCTCCACAGAGTCAGGGTGTTCAGCTCTTTTTGGGTCATGGTATTGACACATGAGCTGATCTCTGCTGACTGCACATAAATTCCTGCTCTCTGGTATAACAGGCAATTACCCCAAGGAGTAGAGCTGCTTCTGCACTGAAGTAGCACTAGCTTCAGGGTCCCAGGGAAAAGAAGGAATAACATCAGGAGCCATTTCAGGTGATGCTGTCTTTGACTAGGCTGCACTTGAAAGATGTGAAGGTTTCTGCACCATGCTTTAACTTGGTCATCCTAGCATACTTTAGTGGATTTCTGGCACATTATGAAGTTTCTTAGCTTTTCTAACTGTGCAGTTAGGAAATATATTTTATACAAAGTCACTGGAGTCAAGGCAGTAATAGCTTCATTAGTAATAATAGTAATAACAGTAATAACCTCACCATATGGCATTCTCTTTGTCTTCTTACTGTCTTGATACACCATGCAAGAACTCTTTTGGGAAGCAAGGGGTGGAAAGCACAAGTGGAGGAAGAAGAGGATACAGGAGGGATGAAACTGTCTAATAAGAAGATGGAGAGTAGGGCTGTGAAAAGAGTAGCCTGTGAAAGGAGTGTGGTTAAACAGGCATATAGATGGACACTGGAAAGCAAGCAGCACTATGGGGAGAAACAACTGTGGGAGGGAGTATCAGGATTTGTACTGAGTAAGGGGAGATAGGAAGATTGAGAAGAGGTTATGTGCTCTGATAAATAACCAGCTGTTCTGGGGTCCCTTTAGGGACAGAACATCATCTTAGGGATCATCTATTTATAGCCTAATTTTCTTCTTGATTTCTTATTCTCTTGGTGAAGAGCAGGAATATGGGAAGCAAAAGACAAATGTTATGCCTGTAAAGTACCTGTTGCATTGCCTAGCAACTGCTCTAAGCCCATAGTAATAGAAGTACAGCTCTGAAGCCAAGGGTATTCCAAGTTACCCAAGTTTCTGCAAGACTTCACTTATTTATATACATTGGAATACTGTATGCCTCCTTCTGTAGGTGAGCACCTGATCCTTCTCAGTGTTAAGGAGAAGCTGTCTGCAGTCCTTAGGCCAGATAGTAGCTTAGCGGGAGGTGAGTGGGTTCTGTGAGTGGTGAGAAATGCTCTGATGTAGGTTCCCAGGAAACAGGCAATCAAATGAGACTGATGAACATAATTCCATTTTCATGTAGTGGAGAAAAGAGGCATATTAGGTCAAGGACTGGAGCAGAAGGACTGGAAGTTGGAATTGCTGTTGGAGGAAATGGTGTGCTTTTCATTGCAGTGACTACCTTGCAGCTCCTGTGCTGGAGGTTCTCCAAGAGCACTTAGAAACTGACTCAACAATATACTAGAAGTCAAGAAGATATTTGGGATGGGGTGAAGGGGTTACCACCAAGACTTAAATGTGTAGTCATTTATGTGAGCAGGAGAAATTAGCATGGCAGCTAGCCCAAACCTGCTCTTGCCTGTCAGCAGAAACACTTAAAATGTTGGATAACAAAATTGTCATGATCTGAAAAACAGGCTTACTTTGAAAGCAAAGAATTTTTCAGCAAATTTTGAAGGAAATAGGCAAGGCTTTTCTGAAGTATAGATCATGTTTTAAAAAAAAAAAATTCCTATTCCACTTGGAAACACTTTCTCATTAATTTTTCTTGAGTCTGAGTCAAAATTAATTAAGTCAATTTGAAGTCCTTTTTTTAATAGTTAAAAATAATGGTACTTGGCCTTGACTTTTACTGCCGTTTTGTGTGGTTTAATAGTTGTATGACTTTTTTTTCTCCCACACACATTTGTAGAAGAGTCACAGAAAAGAAAACAGACTACATCAGTAAGTAAATTCTCCTTTCTAAGTTATAGATGTTGCTCATAAAATTTAGCAGGAAAAAAATCATGCAACCACAGGCATAATGAAGTTGATGTTCCTGTCGCACAACAGACTCTGAGGTTTGTATTGTGCAGCTTTGTGACTTGGACTCCTTGCTGAGGTTTTGGGGGACCCTCATTTGTCAGTTGAGCAGTCTTGCGTGCTCTTACAACTTGGCATGTAAGAAGCATTTACACATAAAACATTGCTGAGCTACTTCTGAATATGGTGGAATTCTTTGGAAAGGTCGGGGAGGTAATTGATCATTTGCTGACAGCTTGGGACTCTGAGAAAATGGTCAGATGGAAGGCTGGGATGCAGGAAAACAAACTTTCTAAGATGGTAACTGTCACATAGCCAAGCTACACATGTTTCAAGCTTTTTAATCTTTGCTCACAATCTCAGCTTCTTAGTCACTTTTTTTTCTGTTTCTCTGTGAACTCTCTTCAAATGTTGACATTTTACTGGTCCTGATGCATGGACAGTATTCCAGGTGTGATCTTGAGCTATAGCAGTATTTCTTTGTAGAGCCCTTTTAGAAACTCTACTGCTGCTAGGATAAGTAGTTTCAGAACTTTGATGATCTCTTTCATTATTCTTTAACCTGTGGGTCAAGGACTAGATTTCTTTCAGGAACCGCTCAAAATGTTCTCTGCAGCTAGAAAAATAAGATTTCAGCGTTCATGGGAGTTAAGATGGCAATCTACTGGGACATCACATGAGTTTATAACAAAAATGTTTGAATTTCTCTACACTGTGATCCTAAGTTTCTATATCAGAATGGATATAGAAACTGAAATGCGGGTATAGAAACTATAGTGGATATAGAAACTAAAGAGAAACGTACAACTTCAATACAAAAGAGGCTGAAAGAATCTACTTCTTGGTTTTTGAGATCTGCTTTTCACCAATCCTGTCTTCATCTATTGTTTTTTGCATATGCAGTCTGACAACTTCAAATTATGGTAGTTATCAGTCTCTCTGCAGTAAGATAGAGTATTTTAACTGACTTACTGCAATTATCAATCCTGAGGTAATTTATACATTAATATGCTGAGGAGAGAAGACACAGACATAAATGAACCTTTTTAAATTACTTTTAAATATAAAAGAATCTGTCCAAAAAAAAGGCATGTGTTAATTATACCAATGCTTTGCCACAGAATATGGTCGTGGCCCGGATTTTCTCTGGTATCCAGCCAACTGGGACGCCTCATCTGGGTAACTACCTTGGAGCCATTCAGAACTGGGTGAATCTGCAGGAAGAGTACAGCTCAGTGCTGTATAGCATTATGGACATGCACTCTCTCACCATGCCCAAGGAGCCAGCTGTCCTGCGCCAGAACATACTGGACACCACTGCCGCCATCCTTGCCTGTGGTATTGACCCAAAGAAGTGTTTCCTGTTCCGACAGTCACTGGTTAGTGCTTTCCATGCTTGTTACTGAGTGAGCATCTTTGTGTTGGTGGTCCTAGAAAAATTAGCAGTGTTGGATTTTAAACTTATCCTTTGCTGTGATTTTGAAGTGCCTGAAATCATGACTGAAAAGTCCGTACTGTAAATTTCTGAAGCAGAGCTAGGTGTTTGTGCAGGTTATGAGTAAAATACTGAAAAGACCTGTTAGGAGACCATTAATTTAACTCTGTAAGTCTCACTTCAGTCGCAAAAGGTTAACTCATAAATGCATAAATGTAGTCTATGTATCCATAAAAACATGTAAAACATGTTTCTATGGTTTTGTATCAGCTCTTGTCACTTATTCTGCCAGCTGCACAGTATCGCCAACAAGTGATTGATATGGTAAGTTCTGTATCAGTTCCACCATGATTATCAGGGGGTTACCTCTTAGGGATTTTTTTTTCCCCTTCTTTGCCATAACCTGCTTTTTGTGTGTACCTTTTCCCATCTGATCTGATAATTCATATGTGAACTATTTGGTTCTCTTGACCACCCCAAGGAGTACTGGGCTTACCTTCCTACTTGGCATATGTCACCCTAGTCTATCACAGGCTGTATTTTCCTGAAACACAACTTAATTTTTTGCTCGATTAACTTTCTGTTACTGACTCTAAACTGGCAAACTTTTGTAATTTCCCACAGAGACAGATGTGTCATAGCTTCTGCTCGTGAGAAGACATCCTTAAATGGATGTCCAGCTTGCAGCAGGACTGCAAAGGTGGTGTGCACAGTGTCTGAAATTTATCAGTGTAAGATGAAATGGTATTACATTCCTCCTTTGAACATGGTTCTTCACAGGCAGAGTTTCCTGTGGTTATCAAACTGCAAATGGCAATCATAGCTTCATGTCCCTGGTGGATAATGAAAATATGAAGACAGATGTCCTTCCTGCTTCACTTTTCCTCAGTATTAAAAAGAAATTCTAAATACGTTAGCTCAGAATTTTAGTGGAGATATGTTTAAATTAATTTATCCTTTTTTTTTTTTTCAAATCCAATTAGCATTTTAAATAAGTTGCCAGCTTGGGTTTTAATTTGGCTCTCTGACTTAACTTCATCATTGAGGCTGACATAAACTGGAATAATCTCAAGGTGAGTTACAAGCCAGTGATTCAGTAAAAACCAGTCTGAAGGTTTGGGGGTTTTTCTTGTTTTCAAGCAACTGAACAATTAAATTAATTCCAACACAGGATCATTGACTAGATGTACTCATCATAGAGTAGAGATGATTTGCAAGTTATGATTAGAGAGGAATAAAGTCAAGGTTTATGAAACTGCAATTGAAATGGAGAAAATAGGGAACAGTTGTTTTATCCACTGAAGAATGTGAACTGACAAGTATCAAAACAAGGTAACACCTGGTAGATTCAACACAAGCAAAACAATGCTGCATTTTCTGAAATCCACAATCAGTCTACAGAACCTCTTGTCACAGGATGCATTGCATGCTGAAATGTGTATGAATTCAGAAAAGGAGTCGACAAATTAATCTAAAAAATCATTTGGGGACTGTTTCATTTCTGAGATTCCACCTCTGCAGGAAGTGCTGAAATCACAGATGGGAGAGTATCCGTGCTTTTCTGTACTTAGATTCTTTTTGTTGTTGTTGTTGATTGCTGTCAGAGGTGGATATTTGATCAGTTCCAGTATATATTCCTACATATATATTCCTGTATATTCCATATATTCCTACAAGTCTAAGAGCTAAATTCCTACAAGTCTAAGAGCTGTTCCAGGTCTTGCTAAAGCCAACACACAGACTTCCCTTGAAGACAACTGATTATCAGTGAGGATCTTACATTGCAGGCAGCCACAGAAAGCAAGTTGTATCTTTCACAATATCATAATGCAGAGACTGAGTCTTTGAGTCCCCATAGAGAAAGTATGAGACTCAGAAAATGATGAGAGGACAGGACTGTGATGCATCTCCTGTACAGTGATGCTTCTACCAGTACAGCCAACAACCAATGAAAACCTTACATAGTTAGACTTGAACCTGTTCAGCTTTATCTTCCACCAAATATGATTCTGGTTTATCTTATGGTGGTTTGACTGGCATCTGCTAAATAGACTACCTTTATATATTAATTTTTCCATGTGGCTTTATCTGTCCAGCTTTAATGGTGGTTCTTCTTATTTAATCTAAACCATTAGATTAAATGTATGGACTGTGTCTGATGTCTTGAACCATATTCTTACCAACACTTATCACACATGTATCAGTACAACTTTCCAAACTGACTGATTCTAGCATATTTTTGAAAGCTCATTGTCACACTGCAATCAGAAAAACTACTATAGTTGTTTGTGAATCCAGACTGTTTCAGTACTGGTTCAGGCTGAAGTGGTTTGTTAGCTTCCCAAAACCAAGTCTATTCAAGCTGCATGTAGTGGTCAGGTACACCCAGAGATGCACTATGGTCTGTTCATTTACATCAGCAGGACCAGATGTTTCTCTGGAAGCAATTAAAAGGAATATCTGCGTGTAGCTCGTGATGCGAGGAAAGGAGACAGGAACCTTGCTAATGTGATTATTGTTTTAGTATGATAATGAAATAGTACGTTATGGAATGTCATCATATCGAGATGATTGTTCCTAAAAATGTAGGTGTAAGATGGATTGCAGTTATTGCTAATCAAGAAAGTTTATTGCTTTATTTTGATTGGTAATTGCTCAGTTTTCAAAAAAATGAGCTGGCCTCTCCTATTCAGCCACTCTAGCAGTCTCTAAGGGTGGTCTGAAAAGCCACACTTTTGTTTACAAACATTTGGTTGAGGTGTAAAGCAAAGTAACCAAAACATTGTATACTGAAATAGGTTGTATTTCCAGAGATCATCAGGAAAGCAGTGAAAATCCAGCTGCAAATAGAGAGCTGGTTTAGGTATTTGATTATGGGCAAAGTAGTTTTATTCAATACCAGATCAAACTGATAAATGAGAGAATTCTCAGTAGATTAGTGTGCTATAATTATAGTTTTATTTTGAGTTCTATCTAGAAAATTACAAAACCTGTAGATCACAGAAATGCTACTGCAATTACTTCTGATTAACATTTCTATTCTTTTTTTTTAAACAAACATCATGCAAAAAAATTATTACTATCTAAGAACTTTTAGCTTTAATCATCTAAACCTGCAACTAATGACTATTAGTACCCTGATTCTGTAGCAGTAAAGGCAGAATGAAATTCTTGCACTGCAAAAGTATGCTAGTAATGGTAAGCCCCATTGAGAGACTGCTTATGCAGTCACTAATGTGATGTTAGCGCTGCTTGTCCTCTCACTTTCTTTGGATTACCCTGGGCAAGAGTGGTCTAGAGTTGCTGAAAAGGGGTTTCTTTGTTGTTGTTTATTTGTTTGTTTGGCTTACTCTTTCTGTACTTTGCTGCATATGTTGCTTCTCTGGAATATGTTTGCCATATGTGAAAAAAATATTGCTACTTTGTTTCCCAAAAGGCATGTGCATTTGGTAAGGGTTTCACTGTCAGTAGGGTTTTGTATACGGGAAAGTTTATGCAGATTAAATTTCTAATCCAGAACTATGTGAAATACCTACCTCCAGAGTTTTCCCACGTTTTATCGTCCTTTCCAATACAAGCAAGAGATAAAAGCCTGGACAATATTAATCACAGATTTCTAGGGGAAATTGTGATGAAAACAGATACCTCTCATGTTATACTAGATCCAAAAGGTGCTGCTATGGTAAGGATACAGGTGAAGTTGACTTGGGGTGCCAGAACTGATTTGAGTGATGTCATTGCCTTGCAACTGAACTGAAATAAAAGTGAGAGAAATTTTGCATAAGCTGATTTTTATTGTATTGGTTAGAGGGCACAGGGCCTATGTTCTTGTGTATTGGGTAAATCACAGCCAAATTAGCTAAATGGAAAGTGCTAGTTTCATGAAAATTATTTTTATATGCTTCAGAATTTACCATTTGTAGATTATATTTTTCTATAGCATGTATAAACAGTAAGTTAATGGCTGGCTGTATATTTGTCTCCATAAATTGCAGTTCCCCAAATACCTCCCATACTTAAATTGTCATAAACAAACTTGAACTCGAGCTTAGGGAAGTAGTGGATACAAAGAATAAGTGATGATAATTTGAAAATATTTAGAAGCAAGAAGGATGATGATGAATAATTAAGAGTGGTGTTTGGAACCACATTGTCTGTGAAGGGTTATAAACAAGCACATTTAATTAGAGTATCTAGGAAAACACAATTGTGGAATATGTTGGACAGTAGAATGGCCTCCCAGTGAGAGAAGCTCTTTCGTTACAGCTTGTTTAATTATATTTTCTTAAGGAGAAAGGCAAGTTATAGAAGAGTGACAACTTCAGTAAGAATAAAAATAAATGCCTATTTCAAAATTATGCATTTTTATTTGGAGTACAACTGCAAAATATATGAAACCCTCTTTGCTCTTAGAGAAAATAATGTCAAGATAAGTGACATTTAAGTGGCTGCCTTTGCCTACTAGGCATAAAAAAGAAGTAACAGAATAATAATTTATACAACGTATCATGAGAATGTTAGAAGAAAGAGAAAATATATTCCTTAAATTGTACCATAACTGATAAAAGCTGTAGCAGTCATCTTTCATAAAACTTAGAATGTTTTATTAAAAACAAAAAGGACTATAGGGTGTGGGGGAGGGGGAAATAAGAAAGACAGGATGCAATCTGCACACATGGTAAACTTATATGGTGTAAGCCATTTTCTCTGATTCCTGGTGGGTACAATACACATTTCAGTTTTTATCCATGACCATCTTGTATCTCATCTGCTTCACAGTTAAAACAATTTTAGAAACTTGATTTTGCTTTTATGTGGTCTCAGACTGTTCTTCCTGTCCATCTACCTATTGTAGTAGACACATGCTAAATGTCCCAAGAGAAACTAAAATTCCATCAGAGTTGATTCAGCAGGCAGTGGTTGATATGCTGCAAGAACGCTTCT